GAGGCTTGGTGTACTTGGCCAGAAAGTGCTGAAGAACATAGAGTTGCTTCTCGAGGTCCTTTTGCTCGTCGACATCGCGGGCGCGGCGCCGCTGCTGCTTGAATCGACTTCGCGCTCGGCGGCGTTCGTCGACAGCCCCCCTGGCGGTCATCATCGCCAATGTAAAAGTGACCATGTTATCTTACAAGCGCTCTGCACGACACCTATTATAATGACAATAACTCCTTGCAAGGTGCGTCACGCTGCGAAGCTTGAAGTTGGATCGACAACTCATCAGCAAGTTGTCATGCGCCCTGGTTTTGTACCAATGCTCACGTCTAGGGTTCCCACATATCCGGAGGATCGACCAATTCAATGTAAAAGTACAAGTACAGTGAACAATCCAATAACAAGAGCGTTTCGGAACAGTTGATGCACGGCCTCTGAGTTGACCGGATCATCGTCGCACGACGTGCGTCGTCTTTCTCGTGGGTGCGGCACTGTGCAAGTTACGCACGATTGGCGGCATTGTTATTGATTAGCCAATCAGTGCGCTGCATTGAAAAATCGGCCACCAACCTTCGCCGCCATCGCGACCTGAAGCGTTACCAAACGTTGACGCACCGGAAATGTAATAGTACGAGGTAGCTCCTAGGCGCTCTAAGAGCCGTCTTAAGGTATAAAGGTACCGTGCCATGCTTTGGAGCAGCAAGATCTCGATCGTCGAAGCCCAGGGCGTACAGCGCAAGCATACCGCGCTGCCATCATGGGCACAAGTCATCAACGTCTTGAAGGAAATGGTGCGTCACCAAGCACGCGGCTGCGCATGCAATGCTAGAATCTGCGTCTTTTCGTGGACCACCTTTGTCGAGCGCAGTTGCAACACCATACTACGACTGACAACGAGGATACAGATCTCTCTTCGAATTGACGCTTCTTCAAAGTGATGATGACAATTCATTGACGTGGCTGTCCTCTCAGAGCGTATTATCCTCCTCGATTGGTTTTTCCAGTAGAGACCCAGCAAAGGGCATCATCGATTGCATGTATGCACCTCTGGAGCAGCCCTCCAGCTCTACTAGTACATTTCAGAGCGTTCTGCAACAATGGGCGACTCATACAAAAACAGCACGCACATTGCGTGGCGATACAAGGGACAAAAATGAAATTGATGTTGTAAGCTCACGTGTGCGAGGCAAACCAGCACTTTCTGGACGACATTGGCTCTGCGTGCATGCTAGAGTGGCACGCGAGGAACCTGTCGCTGCTGCCGACAGTGCTTTTCTACCGGTAGGCGAGAGACGCCATCTTTGCGATGAATCCATTGATAGAGCTTCAAAGAAAAAGGCAACGGAACTACGACGCGTGCACATGGGTGGCGCTCGCCAAATGCCGATATGCAGGAGCTTCCAGCGTGCACTGGTATCCTTTGAGAGATAGGTATAACAGGCGCACAACTGATCGCAGACATCACTCGCGGATCACACGGTTTGTCGCTGAATAAATCCACCAAGTTGAAGCGTCAGCGTTGGACACGCAAGACGTCTCCGAGTTTGCACAGAGAAGCAATTGGCAAATGGAGATCACCGACAAAGAAGAGCGTCTTCGAGAACGTCGCCGGCTCAAGCAGCAGCGGCACCGTGCCCGCGATCTTGACGAGCAAAAGGATCTCGAGAGGCAGCTCTACGTGCTTCAAAATTTTCTGGCCAAGTACAAGGCGCATGCGGACACGGCCTTGCCGTGGAAGCAAGTGGCGTTTGCGCTCCAGGACGCTGTCGATGACGCGACAACTGTCAACATCCAGCTCCGACAACAAGTCGAGCAACTCTCCCGGCTGGCGCACTCGTTGGCGTCCAGGACGGCAGCGATCGACCACGGCTTTATTAGTGTCCCGGTATGCGTTGCATCTTTTAGAGTGCACGTTTGCTAACGTTCATTTGGTTAGGAACCGTTTACGTGGCAGGTCGTAGGCCTCCCGACCGACCCCGCAGCGTTGGGCGGGGCGACTGAAGGGCCGTACACCGTAGAATGAAGTCGGGCACTCAATAGCCTCGACGATTGTAAACCCGGGGACGGGTCATAGCTATTATTTATCTGACTTAGCTTTTCATTTCCTTTTGGTGATCGTGCAGATGCGCAGCCACAGCTGTGTCCTCCAAAATATACTCTAAACTGTATCAGAAACCCACAAAATGTTTGTCGTTCCAACCGCTTCAAGCATTTCATGGCCACGCGGTGGACACGTGTGACCAATCAGCAGTGGGCAAATGACGACGGCCGACAAGGGCGAGCACCTCCGAACACTGCGTCGCCTCAAGCAGCAGCGACGCCGCGCCCGCGACCTTGACGAGCAAAAGGATCTCAAGCAGCAGCTTTATGTCCTACAGCATTTTCTGGCCAAGTACAAGGCTCACGCTGGCACGACCTTGCCGTGGAAGCAAGTGGCGTCGGTAACGACGCTGTCGACGACGCGACGAGCATTAACATGATGCTCCGACAACAAGTCGACCGACTAGTTAAGCTGGGGCACGGTTTAGCCTCCTGGGTAGCCGCGGCCGATCGCCGAAACAACATGCCCGTATGCCCTTCCGAGTTTGCACTTTTGCTTGGTACAAACTTGTATGTAGGAAGCGAGCGAGCCGTTCACATGGCAGCAAGTCTGGCTCCCGATCGATCCGATTGCGCGATGCACAAGTTTGGACTGGTTCACCCAGCGCCTCTTCCACAACACGGACCGGATGCTTGCGCGCACGTTCTTTCCGTCGTCGTCTTTGCGCGTCATGGACCACGTCGAGATTGATCACGGTAACGACTTGCTTGACATTGCCGTGCGCATGCAGATTGATATTGCGCTGCCGCTGGATGACACTGTATGCTTGTATCCGCCCAAATATCTGGGCCGCCTGGACGGCGCCGTGGAGCCATATTCCCGTCACGGTTCTCGACCCCGCGGTACGTTGTTGCTCGTCTTTGATAAACGTTTACGAGTAACGTTAGAGTCGATATAAAAGACTTCGTAGGTGGTCGCTAGCATCGACCCAAATATGCGCTTCCAGCGTGTCGACGTCCCCGGCGAAGTCAGCTACTTTGTCATGCGCGAGTTTGCGACCCCGACCGCTTTGTATTTGTTATTGGCAACGTCTGTCAATTGGACGACGATCCAAGCGCGTGGCGTCCACGCCTGTCGTGGTACGGGTCCTTCTTGCATTCCGGCGTATATACGTGATGCGTCCTTGTAGGTTTACGCTGGACCTCGTCCGCCCCGACACAACACGCCTCCGTGCCCTGATCTACAACTGCCCGTACGTCAAGGAGCGGTCGCGCAAGACGTGGCGCGATGCACTTTCGAGCTTTGACGCTCACGCTGACGCGATCCCGGAAGCGGCCTAGTGGGCCGCCTTCCAGCAGTTTCTTGACCACGGGGCTCACATTGCCCTTGACCACGACAGACGCATGATGGGACTGCACTTGCTCCCAACCATGTAATGCAAGCAGAGTGTGCATGCTATCGTTTATTTGTATTCGTCATCGTGTCGTTCTGGTCGAGGTGCAAGGACAGGAGGAGGTAAGGACATGTTCGTGTTGCAAGACGATACGAGGAGTACTAATCCATCCATCGATGCGTGGGCAGTCGGTTGCCATGCTCGTCGAGCTGGCAGTCACGGTTGAGGCAAATCCAAATGAGCGCTAGCGTCGACTGCTTCACGCCGTCGTGGGACCGGATGAACGCCGCGCCTTGGCCGCCGCACTCGGGGCACGCGACGTCGTAGTCGCGCTGGAGGGTCGGGTCGTCAATGATGTCTTCCGGCAGCACATCGAGCTGGACGCGCGAGTCCTTGACGAGCTCGTTGGCGTAGATGCACGACTCGGGCACCTC